GTTACCAAAGCCCTGTTAACACACATGCGTCAATATTCTCTCGCGCATGCGCCCTCAAATCTTGCAATATAAAGTATTTTGTTCTTTAGGTTACCAGATTGGGTTTATTTAGAAACAAGATTATTAAATGAAAACTAAATGAGTCCAGAATTAAATAGTGGTGGATTTTCAAAGAGATTTCGCCACTTGTAACGAAATCCCATAACTATGGTTCAATTCAAAAGAAGGGTTTAACATCCGATTCTAATTTTGTTTTTGTCATTTGATTCGGAGTTGGAAAGTTGATAAGACCGTGAACATTTCAACATGTTGTCATCTATTTGACATACAATTGTTTAAAATTCGCTACATTTAACAGAAAGAAGCGCTCAGTACCGAAGATAGAATTTTTGTAGAGTTAGTCAGTGTGGATATAAGAAACAACATTGCAGAATTATCACTTTCAAGACTCAAATTATTTCCAGACCGCCTACAACTACTTCTTTTACGGGTTCTCTATATAAGTCAATGGCGTGGGGGTGGTTTAAAGAGAAGTGGGGAGGGAAGAAACTTACTCTAACATGTTTTACTTTTGGATAAACGTTTGAAATTATTTAGTTATGATCTTTAGTTGTCTTATATTTATCTACCTATTCAATTTTATAGACAGTTATTTCACTTCATTGATTTTTTTTTATATTATCTTCGGATCTAAATTTTGTTCTGTGAAATACAGGTTTTAAGATATCTTTTTATGTTCCGATTTATATGATTTGTTCGGGTTTAATACTAAACATATTGTTTAATAGTTTATCGTACACATGGTATTCGTGGCTTATGTTATTCGAGATTGAATCTTTGGTTGTATTTGCATGTTAAATTTGAGATAACGATATATATATTTATATATCAAGAACAATATTGTGGAAAATGTATTTCAGATAGGAAACGGTTTACTTGTGACGCGTTTTGTCCTTCAGGACTTTATCCGACTATATTTTTTTTATGTTGGTACGACTACACATGCGCACGAACGAGTGCTTCTGGGAATTTTGAATGAAAAAAAAACACAAAAAAAAAAAACAACAAAAACCCCCCAAAAAAACAAAAAAGAAAAAAACAAACAAAAAAGAAACAGAACTTTTTTTTTAATATCTAGCCGATTTCATTTAGAGATTTTTTTTCTTCCCGTCAATTATATTAGTAAGTATCCCACACTGTGATAATAGAAGATCTGACAAGAATAGTGAAAGTAAGTGCTAGGGTGCCCATTTACTGTAGATGGCCTTGCGATCAAAGCACTCTCGAGACATTTACGTCTTAGTGAATTGTTTTCTCCTTTGAGAAGAGTAGCATTTGTTACACACCGCTACCCACCCGTTTGGCATTTAAGCATCTGGTCAGTTTCGACAGGATATCGAGAGATTGGATTGGACAATCGGAATAATATATTTTTCAAGGAAGTTGACGTTATAGTTAATTACACTGAAAATGGAGTCGAAAGAGATTTCAAATTCTAGTCGAAATAGTTTGTCTCAATTTTGCACTAATACCTTTAGGAAAAGCGAGAATCTATCTTTCTGAAATGGCCAAGATAGGAATTAATTTTTCTTGATACAAAGATACCCAGTAGAACATATCACATATTATATGAAGTTGAACACTGTAATCTGATTGCCTCGAGAAATGCCGTGAAGAACTTAGAAATGAAAACTTAGCTGTAAATTCATAACTATGTTTTCAGCCAGGAAATTCGGATAACGTAAAACTATGATATGTATTACTATGAAATAATTGCAAATATATTCGCAACTAATTAACCGGAAGCTTAATGAAAATGTGTATATGCATAATTATTTAAATGTTCGGAAACTCAAAACTAATTTATGGATATTTTTAGCTTGTGTCTATGTCTGTACGGATTTATTTTATCCAACGTTTAATGTTATTGTTTCCTCGCATTATTTTAATGTATTTCTCAATAGGTTTCCTTAAAAACAAAATTAAATCATCTTTTTATTATCTCGAAACGTATTTCGAATCTTGTAATATATCCAAATCGTCTACAAATTCTTTACTTTGACGTAATTCTTATTTTTATGTTTATAACATTGTCTTTATAAAGGACAATTATTATATGTATTTATATATGATAACGGTGTTCTTAATAAGAATATAGAAAAGTGAGAAAATACAAAGTATTGCACTTAATTGTATATAAATCAATGTTGAATATATATCGACCTTTGATTTTTTTTATTTACAAATAATTCAGTATATGCATCGCCTGTACTTCACACTCGATTCATCGAAAAAATTGAAGAGGAAATTAAAGTTACAATGTGACCTTATATTTCTTCGCATATTGTTTTCTATTGTTTTTGTATTGTACAGGTATAGTTTCAGACATTTGCATCTTATTGTTTAGCTATAATTTCAATTACTTTAATATATACTTAGATATGAGGTGGAACACCGATTTACTAACACTGCCAGAATTTAGTGACGGGCGATATATGGTGTATAGATATAGCCAATGGCGTGGATATGGATTAAAATATGCGTTTTTACACATCGCTACCCACCCGTTTCGCATTTAAACATCTTGTCATATACTGGTCAGTATCGGCAGAATATCAGAATATCAGAGGGAATCGGTTTAATATGTTTTTCAAGTAAGTTGACGTCACACGGAAAATGGAATCGAAAAAGAGATTTCAAATTCTGGTTGAAATAATTTGTCACCACTTCTCGGTAATACCTTTTGGAAAAAAAAAACAAAAAAAAACAACAACAACAACAAAAAAAAAAAAAACAAACAAGAATCTATCTTTCTCAAATGGCCAAGACAGGAATTAATTCATCTTGTGAAAATCGTCGCGTAATTTACATTCATTTTTTTTTCAATCATTTCATCCCTATAAGTCGATATAGCCACAAAGACGCAAGGGTTTACTATGATGAATAACTGAGAAAACGTTACCGAAGAGAAAGGACCATAAAAAGAATAGGATTCAAGGAGACGTAAGATGGCGATTGACGTTGCATTAAAATTTTTAAAAATCGTAGTTAACAGGAAAACAAGAAGCTGGAAGGGCTTCACGGGTGAGAAAAGAAATTGACTTAAATTGCACTTAATTTCAACAGTAAAATGATCAGACATAGATTCCTATTTAGTACTACGCTTTCTTTCCTGAAGTCGACTTAGCAATGAGATCACCGCACAACAATATTTACTATGTCTTTCTTTTATGTTCCGTGTCCCTTTAGGACGAAAGCGATCATGGCTCTCCACCTTTTCTCTATCCCTTGTAGTTCTTAATGTTTTGTCCTTTTGCTACTACTCCCAAACCCTGTTCTGTCATATACTTTCTTAAGCCTTCTATGTCATGCATTGCTTTCACTTGTCTCTTTTATTCTCAAAGCCCTCCTTTCTAATTACAAGTCCTAAATATTTCAGCCTCCTCCTCCTCCTGAGGTTAATTATAGGCTTCCTTCTTGTTCGCCTCCTTTCCAAAACCTCATCGTTGTTCACATGTTCGGTCCATGGTATCTTTAGCATCTTCTGTAGAAAATTACTTTCGCTGAAACGAGTCTGTTCTTATATTTTTGAGGAGACCGTCCAACATTCGCTGTCGTAAAAGAGAAAAGATATCACCTAGCAGTTCAGTACAATGCTGTATAATTGCAAAGATGTCTTCACATCCTTTGACATTTTTCCTTCCGTAAATTAAGAGATTTCTATTTATTTTCTGACACGTTTTAGCGCTCTCGTTTCAAGGCGATGTACGTGCTTTTCATAAATAAGGCAGAATTAAATGAATTTATATTTCTACCATAAAATATTTCCTCATTATAATTCTGGAATCTTTATCTATTTTCTAAAGTTATTTATTAAACGCCAGGCTAAATTATTAACTGCTATCTTACGCAATGAAACAAGGAAAACCTGCTGGGGCGTCGCTTTTTAAATGTTTATGTTCAAGTAAAATAAATTGCATGAAAACAGATATAATTGAGTTACTAAACGATATATTAACCTGATAAAAGGACTAAACTATTGTGTAGGGAATCGAACCTGTGTTTACAAGACTATACATCGGCGCGCGTATATATGCGTGTGCCGCGTGCTTATTTGTTAACAAGTGTTTATGAATCGATAAAAGGCAAGAAAATACTAAAGAGTATTCACCAGAGTATATTTAACGGTTCGTTTTATCTATGGCCTTTGGCACCGTGCCAAGGGAATACGACGCGCGATATCAAAAGAGAACGATGAAAAATAAAGAGAAAAATAAAGAAGAGAATTAAGACAATATAGTAAGACGTATCATAATAATAATACTGATTTCTTTCAGTTAAGTACTGTCCCTTACAAATTCATTACTAGAAACCTGAGGTAAAGCATGGTTTTAAGTATATACATTCTTTTAGCACAAATTCTGATTTTAAGTTATACTTAACATGTACAGTATTTATATTTTCATTACGTTCATAATACTCTGAGTAGATGAGCAGTTCTACACCGTGAAATATGTGTAAACAGGGAAGCTGTTATGGATGTGCTTGTTTCTACCATTTTTTTCTCGTGGCAACGGTTGCAATTATCACAGGTAAACCATTAGTTTTTAGTAGCCACGTGATTTTTCAGTTTCCAAATCGTTGTATTTAGTTATTAACCATTATGTCTGTTTTATTACCTTTTATATATCTGTCAGTATGAATGGTAAATTCATTATTATTCGTAATAGCGGTTTACGTAATCGGAACAAAAATAAGACTGGGACTATATTGATGATCACAGGTGAAAGAAGAAAGAAAGAAGAAATGAAAAAAATAAAAGTGAAGCATAAAGAACAGGGGAAGAAAGCAAGGAAGATAAATAAAATCATGGTGAAAGAGAGGTACTAATCATAGTAATTGCCATAAATGAGATGCAAAAAGAGATATGAAATGTTTAGCAGGACGAGTTAAAAAGAAATAAACTGAGTTGCTAGAAACAGAGCCGAGACTTTTAAAGGTCAGAGAGTGAGAGAGAAGAGAGAGAGAGAGTAGTGAGGAGAGAGAGAAGAGAGAGAGAGAGTAGTGAGGAGAGAGAGGAGAGAGAAGAGAGAGAGGAGATAAGAGAGATAGGGTAGAGAGGAGAAGGGAAAGAGAGGAGAAGGGAGAGAGAGGAGAAGGGAAGGGAGAGAGAGGAGAAGGGAGAGATAAAGTAGTAAAGAGAGTAGTAAAGAGAGAGAAGAAAGTGTAGTAAAGAGAGAGAAGAGAGTGAGAGTAGAGAGAGAAGAGAGTGAGAGTAACGAGAGAGAGAAGAGAGAGAATAGTGAGAGAGAGAAAAGTGAGAGAGAGAAAAGAGAGAGAAAAAGGAAAGAAAAATTCGATGTAATAAAATCAACATGTGATGATGGTGAAGCACTGTGAAGCGGCATCGAACGAAAATAGAAAGACAGAAGAAATAACGAAAAGAAAGAAGAAAACCAAAATGAAAGAGAAAATTGATGAAAAAGAAGGTAGAATCGAAAGAAAATCAT